AGTGACGACACACAGAATGAGTCTTTTTACGTTGTGCAAGGCAGAAAGAACCCAGCCTGCACAGGTCAAGTGGACATGTTCACGTCACTGCCGCAACTGCGACCTTTACAAATTGTATAGCACTAACTACGAATAGATGCTTAGCTTTCTGCATGCAAAGCTAAACACGAATGATTGGTCATGTTTTATTTGCTTTTACTGTAACAGCAGTTTTTCTGCCCAAACGTCCATATCAGTGTTCATATATACAATGTAAATATACTGCGAAGAAGATCTATATATATATCATTGATTGGTGCATAATGAAAGATTGCTTGATGCATAATGTATACAACAGCGAAAGTGCCGGTCATAATAGAAAGCCACAGACGTAGTTAAATGTTCTGCTGTCACTTCATTTGGAAAAAGCATTTTGCTGTGACATATCGTGGCTCGACATTGAAATTTAAGGTGACATTAATGAGAGTGAAACTCCCCATGTAGATATTAGTATGTAGCATGCAAGTAGAGAGAGACACGTAGAATTGCCCATATCATGTGATATGTTCTGAGGGTCTTGGTCGATAAGGTTGTGCTACATTCACTTGTTTTCCCCGTGAGTTAACGTTTGCATTGTAGAGGAGGCTGATTTGGAAATTGTAACCTCTGGGCAGGGCTGTTTCTACTGCCTTGCAGATTCGTTTCACTTCCCATCGGCCTCCCCTTTTCGATTCTGCGAGCGTTTAGTGTTAGGTGCGTTACTGCAAATGTGAGAAGGGATGCAGGGAGATCATTACAAAAGTTTTTAAGCTGTACATACGTTTAAAAAAGTTACGTTTTGAATTCGTCTAGCGTTATTTTATATTATATGTTCATGTTTGCTGACTAGATTGGTCAATCTTTCGTTACACTGGCCCCCGTAGTCACTGCTATTGTATTTTCGATGTGAAATATGAAGCTGTGACACGAAGGATTGGCCTGTGTGGTATAATGCCATGTTATGTATAAACATGTTTCAATATTGAGATTTCAGCAATATTTTTACCAGCAGAATTTTATAATATAGGTAAATTGAAAGGTATTTTTCTATGGTCCCGACTGATGAATCCTATTACTGTGTGATTTTTCTTCAGTATGTTTTTAGTAGTTTGTTTGCTTTTGACAAATGTCCTTTTTATCGTTCATCAAAAGTATTTATGAGCTGTTGCTGAAAACGGTTTTTGAGTTGTCGTTTCGTTTTTTACTATTACATAATGCCTCGACCACCATGTTTTGGATTCATCCCATGTTTATATTTGGCATTGGATTTTGTCAATTTAAAATGGATGATTTCTTCCAGGTTATTTTATGGGTATATGATATGAATGTGTAGTCTTATCTCCCACACGTATGCTACACAAATCTACTGAAGTAGCCGCAGGGTATTAAATTCGTCCATTCGGTTGCTCTAGGTACGTCACTACAAGGCGTTGATTGGTTGTGTGATTGGTTGTGAAATAGTAATGAAAAGTAACCGAACCATGTCGCGTTCAATTCGTGTGCGAATCATGTGTAAATATGTATCAGCAGATGCTTCTTATATTGTTTAACGGTGCAGCTGTTTTAATCCTGCTCCAACTTTGTGCTGGATCGGAGAGAGAGAAAAGTGCATGCATAAAAGATAGATGCAGAAAAAGAAGGAGCGAGAGGGGGCGGGTTAGTGAGAGGGAGGGAAAGAATGAGAAAGATAGATAGAGAGGGATAGCTTAGCGTTAACCTACAGCAGGGTTAGAACTGGCCCTAGAAAGTGCTTGTCGTTTAGCTCATGCGTATCTTAGCCGAGAGACAATAAAATTTGCTACATACAAGTTTAGTTTTGTTCAATAATCGTTGATTGGACGGTACAATGTACAAATATTGTGTTCGGCTAACATCTTGCGGTCATGGAAAATGAACCATTTAAATCGTGGAAACCATGGCAAACTACTAGAAAGATACTTAGCCTTGGGTGTAGGAACCCTGTGTAAGCTGTTTAACGCACACACATGCAGTAGTTTTTCGTATGTTAGTATGCAGTAGAGCATATAGTTGAGTATATTAGCGACTGGAAACTGGGAACGTTGCAGTGGACTATAGTTCTGCACCAGTCTTGCATCAGTTCTCTATAACAACTGCTCAAGTAGCTCGAGTTATATTATTGCGTGTACCTCGCGAAATCTATATTCAAGCTGCCAGGTGACGATACTTTATCGTCGGTGGAGATTTTGTAAAGTTGTTACTTTAAGCTGGTGCTACGTAATAATTATTATGTGTGACCATGTTTGTGCCCGTCCGTAGTGTATGCAGCCTCGATGCCTGGTATATGAATACGTAAATTTCATATAATATAACGTCTATAGTGCTTTTCTAGACGTGTGAGTGCGCGCTTGAGGTAGTTGCCATATGATTTAGATCAGTTTTCTATCTCCTTGTGCTTAGACCGTGTAGCGTTTTGGTCACCAACCTATCTTTGACTGTTTTGACAGAAGACGGTTCAGGGTTCCGAGTGCATCGTATTATGTAGAGGGAGTCGGTGTTATACTGACTTGTTCGACATTCACAGGTAGAGTGTGCCGACACGTGAGGTCGCTCCAGCTCACAGAACAATTGTACAGGTTCAGTTTAGTACACACATCGTCTCTGCTTTCCTGCTCCTGGAGTCATTGGAATCCATTCGTCCCCATCATGGTGTCACCTACATTTATACCGTTTCTTGGAGTCACTAGCGTCTAAACATGTATCCTGAAGACACATGCATCCATTCATGTTCCTGTAGTCACTGATATCCATTCCGTTTCCTGGAGTTGTCCACATCAATTTCGTGTCCAAGGACGATGATAAGTTAAGATAACGAATAGGATTGCTTTGTGAACTGTTGGGTTTTAATGGATTTCTATACAAATACTGTTTACAGGTTCAGTATAAAAATAAACTGTTATAAAATAATACTGTTAAGACGTGTGTTTATGGTTGGTAATATTTCTGGTATCAGGGTCCCCACAGCCATTGAAAGTCCTTGAATTTTGTCCTTTGTCCTTGAAAGTCCTTAATTATTCCTTTTGTTATTGAAAGTCCATGGAAATAGGTCCAAGTCATTATTTTATGTCTAATGTACACTGTCCATGTCTAAGTCATCGAAGGAAATGTCCACTGGGCGGATTCAAGAACAGTTCGTACGCACAATATCGTGCGTGCCTACGTTTGTACTCACAAACAGGCATTTAGGTACGTCTCCATCATCATCATACACGCGCACGCGTTCACACACACCCACACTGATCATTTACTCTGTGGATCATACATCTTGAATGATAAAGCTAATGTTTGGGACATAATACTGTAGGGCAGAGAAAAACAACGCTCCGTAGGGTCGGTTAGTTGATTTCATGGCAAGAGCAAATAAAAAGGTTGATTAATTTAAACATCTAAGAAACCAGCCAAATCAGGCAAAGATAGGGTTGAGTTTTTCCTGGCAGACATGAAAGTTGAACACACACACCTCACCTCACCTCACCTCACCTCAGCTACACTCACATCGCCTCATACGCACACACCCCCATACACACACCTCAACTTGAGTTTGTGGCTTGCTGGATACGGCATTGACTGCTTTAGTCACTGCTTGCCTTTTTTTTTTTTAACTATACAGCTTCCAGTTGCCAGCAAAACTTCCAAACAGTCCTCTTTCTCTGACCCACTTCATAAATTATAAAGTCAATTTCCTCTGCGGAAATATACCTATTCTTTCGCCTCTTTTACAGTTGCCGTGTATATTTTAAAGAACTGCTCTCACCACAATCTTTGAGAAGGTTGCTATAGGAGATGGGTGGCTATTAGGAGACGGTGGCTAGTTCATAAATGCTTGCTTTACGATACCTTACGCGAACCCACGAACTGTAGAAGAGCAACGATATAATAAAGTTCATACTTGGACTAGGTGTGTTGTTGTACATGCTGCTTTGGGATTTTGAAAAGCCAACATTGATTACCAATCCGATATTTAGATGACATTCTTTTTAATGCCAACATTCTGCCTGATGTGCTAGTTAGTGTACAGAATATTGGGAGACAGGAAGCTATGCAAATGATAAAGCACATCACGGAGAGGTGTTTTACGTAAACCACGTTTGGTCAGAACGTAGGGATGCTTTTATTTAGCTCCAAACTGTCTAAAATGTATATAGTTTTTCCAAACGTTAAAAACAAGACAGAGACAGCAAGAAAACAAGAAGGGAGAAAGGAGGAATGTAAAAAACGAAGGGTAGGAAAGAGAGAGAATGTGTGTGTGAGAAAGGAAGAGAGAGAGAGAGAAAAAGTAATTAACGCACGCACGCACGCACTCCTGTTGCGCATGTTGGGTTTGATATCGTCTGGGACGCTGCACACAGTGAAGCTGTTCTTGGTTGACGTACAGGTGCCCAGAATCACGTGCAAGAACAATTTTTGCGGTCAGACGCTATACGCAGACCGCGCCGCCCAAGGACAAATTTTGGCTGCGCAAACGGTTTCATGTTAGCAAGAACAATTAAACTGCGTGTTACGAAGGAATATCACGTGAGGGTGTGGCTTCTTTTCCCGGCATGCGATCGTGTTAGTTTTAGTTCAGAGTCAGCGTATACCGTCTTTCTGAACAAAGAACCGTAGGTCGCTGGTGTGTTTCGCTGAAGTTTGAAAGAAATGTCAAGTAATAAGTAGAAGTGAAGAGATTTCCACTTGGACAAGGGATGCCACACGCACTGTCTAGTGCGGGCCAAAAAAAAAGTATGTTGATCGAATTAATTAAATAGAACTATGTAGAATAGAGAGAGAGAGAGAGTCGGCAAAAAATTCGAGTCAAGCGTGCTTTGTTCCTTGTGTCTAGCGTTATGCACGGGTCCGGATATGTCATGACCGCGCTAGAATGCTAGACGAGGCATGCTCGGTATCGGTTACATTTCGTTTGTATGGACCTGATTGCGTTTATTGATATATCAGAAGTATAGATAATAGGGTCTCTCGTTACTTCTGGTTATATGCATATGTAAAGAATGTTGAAGGTGCTCCTAAATATTGAATATGGTTGTTGCAGTTTCTGTGTAGACTATAACGAGGTGACGCAAACACAGCAGTTTGTGACAATTATATCATTATATCATTATAATTATATTTTCAATTTGTTTTTGAGGCCGAGAAAAAAATTAATGCGAAGTGATTTCAACGTTTAAATCGAGCCACCGCCAATCAACGAAAGCTAAGTACCGTTTTGTCTCATAAGAATGCGCGCGTGTATACGAGTGTGTGCGTGTATGCAAGTGTATGCAAGTGTGCGCGCGTGTATGCGAGTGCGCGCGTGTATGCGAGTGTGCGCGTGTATGCGCGTGTGCGTGTATGCAAGTATGCGCGCGTGTATGGTTGGCCACGGTGGACAAAAATCAAGAATACATGACTACATATTTATGGTCACCATAAATATATTATGGTCACCATAAATCGACCAATGGGAAGCGAGGATTATATGCCCGGATATAATCGAAGCCAATCAAATCAAAGGAATTATGTCCACCATAAATAACTTCCGTCCCCGTTTTGACCGTCTAGACGCATTGTCTGGTTCGCTTGATACAATGTAATGGCATGTATGCTAGCGCTTGCAAATTATGCTATGGCCTGCGCCTATGGGTTGCCACGGTGGACAAAAATACATATTTATGGTCACCATAAATCATATTTATGGTCACCATAAATCGACCAATGGAAGCGAGGATATATGCCCGGATATAATCGAAGCAATCAAATCAAAGGAATTATGTCCACCATAAATAACTTCCGTCCCCGTTTTACAATTGCATAATGTATTGGACTGGTATCCGGCCTCACGCTCTGCTACACAATGTACACGCTCTGCGACGACAGTTCGGCCGCGAACCAGTCTAGCTCAGCGTGAAAATCTCAGCGGGCGCAGGCCATAGCATAATTTGCAAGCGCTAGCATACATGCCATTACATTGTATCAAGCGAACCAGACAATGCGTCTAGACGGTCAAAACGGGGACGGAAGTTATTTATGGTGGACATAATTCCTTTGATTTGATTGGCTTCGATTATATCCGGGCATATAATCCTCGCTTCCATTGGTCGATTTATGGTGACCATTAATATGCAGTCATGTATTCTTGATTTTTGTCCACCGTGGCCAACCATGGTTGGCCACGGTGGACAAAAATGCGTCTAGACGGTCAAACGGGGACGGAAGTTATTTATGGTGGACATAATTCCTTTGATTTGATTGGCTTCGATTATATCCGGGCATATAATCCTCGCTTCCCATTGGTCGATTTATGGTGACCATAATATGATTTATGGTGACCATAAATATGTAGTCATGTATTCTTGATTTTTGTCCACCGTGGCCAACCATATGCGCCCGCTGAGATTTTCACTTGGCTAGACTGGTTCGGCGGCCGAACTGTCGTCGCAGAGCGTGTACATTGTGTAGCAGAGCGTGGGCGGATACCAGTCAATATTATGCAATTGTAAAACGGGGACGGAAGTGTAAAACGGGGACGGAAGTTATTTATGGTGGACATAATTCCTTTGATTTTTTGGACGGAAGTGGTCAAAACGGGGACGGAAGTTATTTATGGTGGACATAATTCCTTTGATTTGATTGGCTTCGATTATATGCGGGCATATAATCCTCGCTTCCCATTGGTCGATTTATGGTGACCATAAATATGTAGTCATGTATTCTTGATTTTTGTCCACGTGGCCAACATACGCGTGTATGCGAGTGTGCGCGTGTATGCATGTGTGCGTGCATGTGAGTGTGTGCGTGCATGCGAGTGTGTGCGTTTATGACAGCGTGTGCGTGCATGCGAGTGTGTGCGTTTATGACAGTGTATGCGTGTGTGCGTGCATGCGAGTGCGCGCGTATGGGAGTGTATGCAAGTGTGCGCGCGTGTGTGCGAGTGTGTGCGTGTGCGAGTGTATGGCAGTGTGCGCGTGTATGAGTGTATGAGTGTGTGCGTGTATGCATGCGAGTGTGTGCGTGTATGCGAGTGTATGAGCCCGTATATGCGAGTGTATGCAAGTGTGCGCGCGTGTGCAGATCAAAATCGTTTTCAAACTCGCCACTAAAGTGAAATCAGTTTACGTGTTGGCCGAGGGCTGCCACTAAAGTGAAATCAGTTTACGCGTTGGCCGATCGCGGGCTGGTTTTTTTATTGGTTTAATTATATATATTTTTTAATTTATACTTTTAGTTTCAATTCGAAAATGATTTAAAGTTTCTTCTATTTTATTTTCATTTTTATTTTTTACAATTAATTGCATTTCACGCACACGCACGCACGTACACGCGGGTATTTATTTTAGAGGTAAAATTGTAGTGGCAGCCCTCGGCCACCATACGCCTCCACCAATTAGCGATTGCATAACACGTAAGAGTAAAGAGTTAAGAGTTTAAGAGTAAAGAGTAAAGAGTAAAGAGTAAAGATAAGAGTAAGAGTTAAGAGTTAAGAGTTAAGAGTTAAGAGTTAAGAGTTAAGAGTAAAGAGTAAAGAGTAAAGAGTAAAGAGTAAAGAGTAAAGAGTAAAGAGTAAAGAGTAAAGAGTAAGAGTAGAGAGTAGAGAGTAGAGAGTCGAGAGTCGAGAGTCGAGAGTCGAGAGTGAGAGTGAGAGTCGAGAGTGTGTGTTTGGCTTCTTAAATCCTAAACCACTCTATAAACTCTTCACTCTAAACCCCTTCCTATAACTCCTAACGTTCTACGCTCTCACTTTAAACTCCTCACCTCTAAACCCTTACATTAAACTCCTAACGTTTAAACTCTACCTAAACACACTTCACCTCTAAACCCTTACATTTAAAAGACTTC